TCTTATCCATTGTATTCGTTATCTATCCCTCCAATACAAATGACCCATAGCACTTGATGGCTTAAGACCACCACCATTTATGATTTAGCAGTTTCCGTGCACCAGAATTTGGGTATGCTTCCCTGGGTAGTTCTGATTCAGGGGCCCTCCTGAGTTGCGGTTACAAAGTTGGCCCGGGTCGCTGTCACCTGAATGTCTGACTGAAAACACAGCTAGAGGGTCTGCTTCTAACCTCATTAGTGTGGCTGTTTGCCAAGGGCTTCAGTTCCCCACTTGAGTCTCTCCATAGGCTTCTGGAGAAGCTGGCTTCCCCCAGGGCAACGGGGTCCAAGAGGGAGCAAGGCAGGACCATATCTTTTTACAAATGAACCTCAGAAGTCACACACCATCACTTCTGCCACATTCTGTTGGTTAGATTCACTGAATACAATCCACATTCAAGAGGAGAATTTGCTTCTACCTTTTGAAAGGAGGGGTGTTAAAGAATTTGTGGACATTTGTTGAAAGCAGAACTCATAAATGGGTTTTGTAACATCATGCATCAGTCACGTGGAAAATATTTGTTCACTGAGTTACATGGATCTTTTTTTTCTTCCTGTGTCTCTGGACTTGTGGGATTTTAGTTCCCTGACCAAGGACTGACATGGATATTTTCAATGTTGATAATCTCACTATGTTTTAAAAAAAATCACATCAGTATTACTACTGATATGACTGCACACTTATTAGAATGGCTAAAATAAAAAAAACTGATTATGTAAAACAGTGGTGATGATGTAGAGAAACACTGCAGGTGGGAGTGTGACATGATTCTGTTTGTTTCTAACAAAGCAAAGCATGCATCTGTCATTCAAGTCAGCAACTGTACTCTGTGCAAAAACCTGTATATAAATGTTCATAGTAGCCTTATTCATAGCAGCCCAAACCAGAGACAATCATCCAAACGTCTTTCAACAGGTGAACAGTCAAAAGTGTTGGCATATTTCACTCCCAGATTCCTGTCATTTCATGAGTCTGATAACTGGATCTGTTATATCATCAAGTCTTTGCTAAAAACACTGAATAAACTATGCTTGATAGGGAAGTCCTGAGTCTCCTGAATCAAATTTGATAGATTAGCCAGATTTGCTCTGAAGCTAATTTAAAGCTACCACCATGTTGTCTATACTCTTACAGTTTATGGGGTGGTGGAGCAGGGGTGGCAGAGAGAGCTAATGTCCAAAATCCTATTGTTGCACTTCCCTATTTTAATAGCCCTGCTTAACAGTTTTGGTTGGTGTTTTCTTTTAGAAATTCATGCAAGCTCAAGTGGTAACAACATAATTTTAATAATTCTGTGTGTGCAATATACTATCTTATCATATACCTTCTTCCCTCTTTAAAATAATTTCCCAAATATCTTGGATATTTTTTACCTTAGCAAAATTCTTAACTTAGCTGAAGGAGTAGGATGCCCTTCCAACCTCCACTCACCAAATACACTTTATATTTATCTACCTGGGGTCATGTATTAGTCTGCTTGGGCAACCACAGTAAAGAATCAGACTGCATGCTTAGAAAACAGAAATTCATTTTCTCACAATTCTGGAGGATAGACATCCAAGATTAAAGTGCAGGGTTGACATCTGCTGAGGCCCCTGTCTTTGGGATACAGACAGCTACCTTCTCCCTGGTCTTCACATGGCCTTTCCTCCGTGTTTGCGTGAACAGAGATCTCTGGTGTAGCTTCCTCTTCTTACAAAGACACCAGTCCTGTTGGATTAGGGCTCCTATGACTTCTTAACATTTACAACTTTTTAAAGGCTCTGTTTCTAAATACAGTTGTCATAATTGGGGTTAAGGCTTCATATGGATTTAGGGGAGAAAACTAGCGGAACAGACTTCAATTGCTCTGTCCAATATTTATCCTTTTCCAAATTTAATACAACTTGAAGATGAAATAGGAAATTAGTTGTTTTTGTACTTAATAAATTAACACTTTAAGCAATGGACTCATCTGTTTCTTCCTAATAAACTTCCCAAACCCTTTTTGATGTTTCCCACATTCTTCATAAACTCTGGCTCATTATCTAGCACTTTACCCAGACACTGTTTTTATGGTTTTGCGCCTAACATTCTAATTATATGTTCTTTCCCTCCCAGAAGTCAGTAGAGAGAAAAAAAAATTCAGAGCTATAAGTAGTAGCTCACTCATTTATTCTGTAATGAATACCCTACTTCCTCCTCCATCTGCTGTGTTTTTATCTTTCCACTATATTTGGTCTTGACTCCTCAAAGAGCTAGCTATGTTTGGGAGAAAGTTGGAAAGCCAAAAGTCACGCTGTTTCCAAATGTAACCTTTTTTATTTATGAATTGGGAAATAAATATGAAATCAAAGAATAAAAACAAGAGGCTTTGACAGGAATAAACTGGTATCTCCAACTATAAACTTTGAGAAATTAAGTCATTCATAAAATGTATCTTCAAAAATATAAATATTGAGGTTTGAAAATACAATCAGATGAGCTTTTCCCCAGCAATTTCTGAAGTGTTGGAAACTGATCAGAAGTTTTCAAAAGGTGCAGACAACAATCTCTTCTGATGCCCAGGGCCTCAACAAGCAACACTGTACAGCCTCTAATGTATCTTAGAGCCTTTGTCTCCTTCATCTTCCTTAGGGCTTTACCATGACCAACACTTCATCAGCAGCTGCCTAGCTTCATCTCACTTTCTGTCCAGAGATTTTTTTTAAAAAGAGAATATTAACATCTGCTGAGAGGAAACAATATGGCATAGATGTATACCCCCACTGCATGCAGTGATTTTTGGAATTCAAGGGGGTATTTACTTCAGCACTTCTGGATTTCTTAATATTTAAATTTAAATAAGCATGCATGTATGTCTTAGTTTTGGAAGCAGAAAAGTGGATTTTTTTTTTTTTTTGCTGCTCCATAACTTCTGACCAGGAATTCAACCTAGGCAGTGAAAGCAAGGAATCCTAACCACTCCCAGGGAAGTGGATTGGATTGCCAGGGAAGTCCCTGATTTTTTTTTTTTTTTAAGAAAAGGAAACTCAGAAAAAATTATCTTGTTGAAATAAAAATACACATAATCTTCCTTATTTCGATAATTTCTCTCATATTCAAACATCTACTTCCATTAAAGTGAGGCAAAAGATCCTTGTTTTCAGATTTTGTTATTTCCCATTTGTATTTGACTATTAGCAAATCAACATTTTCCACTGTGTGAAAAATTTACTCTCAGCTCTGCATGAGGGGAAAAACTTATTTGTAATGTGAAATAGGTCATTTAAAAGTGAAATCTAAAGATGGGAAGTTGGGGGGTGGGACCTCTTACAACAGCACTGCTGAATTTAAACAGGAGGGGTAATGTAACTCAATGCCAGGACCTATGTTAATATAAGCAACAGGAAGAATACACACAAAGAACCAATTCTAAAATGATCTCTTCATTTTTAATTTCTTAAAAAGCGTGTTCACAGCACACTCCAAGAATGCCACACAGCAGTAATTTGCTGCTACTGTCAAACAGAGTATGTCAGAAAACAAAACAAAACAAAACAAAATTTAATGGTTAATGGTTTTTAAAATTAGTTCTTTGAAATTTCTGTAAAGTCAATAATTCCCAGTCATTTAAATATTTGTTTCATAGTGGTAAACATTTCATGAAATGCAATGAGTAGCCCCAAATCACACTTCTCTGAAACACAATTAAAAGTTATACAACAGGGGAAAAAATAAAAATAAAAAAATAAAAGTTATACAACAGAAACAAAAATAAATATTTTTCTAGAGAGAATGTATTTGGCATTTTAAAATAATCTTAATGGAGAAGTTTTCAAGTGTAACTAATGTTCAGATTTTTACTTTCTACTATCAGACAGAGAGTTTAGGTCTTCAGTGATTTCAATCTGATTCTAGTAATAGGATGAATGATTCTGTTGTTCTGAATGATCTTCAGTCTTAAAAGAGTCAATGTATTTCGTCTGCATTAAGAAGTGGCGCCCCAACAGTACTAAAAATTATTAAAAGCAAAGTCAGGCAGTTTAAATTAGTTGGTGAGTTGGTACCCAACATGTTTTGTATGTACTTTTCTTCCTTTGATGATATAATCTTTCTAGGTAGCCTGCTGTATTTCTTTCAAAAACAGTAAGTATACAGCTTGAGTGATGTGTAAACTGAATTTTGTTTCAATGACTTCATTAAAAATGTTAAACATGGTTGAAGATTCTCTTCTGTCCTTCCAGATAATTTACATTTTCATTATAAATGCAGAGCGGCTGCACCATGAGTTATATCCTAACCATTTCACCTAAATGTAGAAAAGCTGGAAGTTAAATTTAAAAACTGTGGATAGTTGAGAAGTACTTATTTATCTCCTTCAGAAACTGATGATGCATTTCCCTTGCATATGAGTGTGGAAAAGAATTCATGATGTACCAATAAAAAGCATTTTACTTCTGTCAGCCATTCTGAAACCAAACTTCCATTTACATCACCTACTAAAGAGAAGAAATTTTCCTTTAGAATCATGGTCACAATCTGGAAAAAGAATTAAGAAGGGCTAATTTTAGGCCGATCAAATATTTGAGGAAAGATGCAACACAAAAGAGGGAGGTGAGAAAAGCCAAGTGTGTTGTAATAAATGTCTCCTTTGTAAACACATCTGTCCCTTCCTTCCATATTTGGAAATGTTAAAAATTCTCATCAAAACATTTTATGCCACAAATCCTGTAAAATCAGGTTGATTTCAGCTAGATAACCTGTAGTTGTTAAGAATTATATTACCCTATTCATATCATGAGAGGTAGTGACATTTTATTCTCTCAATGCTGAGCTAAAAATTCCACGCATCTGGTATATGGGTTACAAGGGAAAAAAGCACAGAAGCACCATTGTACACGCCTCATGTTTTGATATTTCAAGTCACCCGTAACTTCATTTGCCATTGGCAGCTGACAATCACCACTGTGTCAACATGAAAGCAGTGGGCACTAGTGCTATTCATCATATAAGACTGGTGGACCTCCATCATCTTTCAAAAATGAAGCAGCTTTCCTTCCATTCTTCTGAACATGATCTTCATTCATTTTCTCCAAAGCTTCTATCTGTAAAATACATACATTGAATCCATTGGTTAAAATGCTACTTCACAGAAATCATGCTTGAGATTGAACTGGTATTTTTATTCTCCTGAAACGACATTCTTAATGACACTGGACTTGAATCAGAATTACAGTGTGTGACACAGATCACAGTGTGATACATACATCTATGTTTTTACTTGATTACATTATCAGGATTGATGCTGAGTGTCTTTATCAAGCTAGCCACTGGCATCAGATAGGTCTTACGATATAATCTATACAGCTTTCAGGAACAAGAAAAAGGAAATCCCAAAGCTGATTCAGCAGCAGCAACATCAAGAAACTGTCCTGAACTAAAGGGTAGATGTACCAACTTCCTGTCACTTCTCTTCTGGCCTTAGACTCCAGCACGGCTTGGCCAAACTCAAGTCACAATGGGGCTTTCTGGAACGGATTCTACAATCATTCTCTGCTTTGGTAGGTTGCTGGGAATAATTAGTTGCTATTTCACATTTTGGTTTTTGTTCAGTTTTGAGAGACCTTCCCTGCAGGAAGGTTTTTTTTATGGTTCTGTAGATCCACTGTAATGACTGGGTATTTCCAAGGAAGGATCAAAAACATCTCAAGATAAGAAAAATCTCTAATTAATTTTGTTTTTGAGGGGATGAGAGGATAAACTCAGCTCTGGGTTTCATTATCTACTCCATCAAGCTCCCCACTATCAGCAGGGTGAAAAACAGCCTTACTACACTTACCTCAGCTAAGAAATCAGCTTCATTATCTGCCGAGATGTTTAAGCCTGAAACAGCATTGAAGAGTTCTCGCTCACCAAGGGCTTCCTTTACTCCTCCTTTCTGAAAAAACTAGTAAAGAAATATGAGAAAGTCAGCAGAGATATTAGCAAGGTTCTCTCAGAAACAGGAAACGGTGTACTTGTAAGACACTGGTGAATTCCCTCCATAATTTTTTAGCTACAGATGTTTCCAACTCAAATATAACTGCACCCAGGTTCTACTTGCTTACTGTCTTCTCACACGTTCGGGCTGTCTTCTGGATTTAGTAATAAGTCTGTCATATTGCACCTTCTATACCTCTAAGTATGAGTGGTATATATAAAATTGCTTGGCACTGCTTTAAGTAGACACAAAATAATCACTAAATTTCATGAATTAAAATTTTCCAGTAAACTCAGACATTATTTCCGAAATGAAGTTGTTCTATCATATTTAAAAAGAACATTCCTATCTGAATCTGCTGCTGACAATTCATTTCCTTTAGAAAATAGCAAACAGATGTGTCTCAACTCTGTGATGACTGAGTTTTACCTTCCCTTGTCTACTCACTCTGCCTCAGAGAAACAGAGTCCAGACTACACCACAAGGAAGACTCTTTTCTTAGTGTGGTAACAATAGCAGGAAGCATGCAGGGTAGCTACAGTTCAGCTTCCCTTAAAGCACCGTGCATGGATTACATGTCTACTTGACGGCTTAAATATTTAGAACCAAAATAAAGCTTACTCTCTCAGAAATTTAATTCATTGGCCCAAATGTGAGGCATGCAATCAAATTCTTGCAAAAAAGGAAATCTGACATATCAGTCTTTGTCTCTTTATCGTGAAAGCCAAGAGGAACTAAACCCTTTAACTTCTAAGAACAGTGTCTTCTTATTGGACTTAGGAGTCAGAAAAATATATCAATCTATTACAGCCCACCCATAAAAAAGATAATTTACATGCCCACCTGTGAGATATTCCTACAGTCACGAAACAAGAACTCCAGGCCATGAGGGTGGGTTGGTTCTACAGACTGACTGACATCGATCAACCAGACCTATTTAAATACAGAGCACAATGATTTCTTTACAGTCAGTCATTTACACCAAGTCACTAAGTCTGAACATGAACAAAATGCTCCTCACCTTTCCAGCATGCCAGAGCATGTTGTACTCACTGAGGTCGGCGTGTACGAGTGTACATTCGTTATATAACTGCTGCATCAACTGTGAGGAGGCAGGACAGACACTTAGGACATGAGGAATGATTCTAAGTAACCCACGAAACTAAAACATCTATATCAACCAATATTTTCCAGGGTAAAGAACTTCTTTGTGCTATTGTCAAGGCTGTGCCTTTCTTTTTTACCTCAAGGGAGGATAGGATAACAATGAAACAGTGGAAGAGATAAATATGTGACACTACTTCCCTGCCCATGTGACAATAATGAGATCCGGAGACCAAAGGGCAGACCTGGATTCCCATGCATGTGAGACAGCTGTGGTCACTTAACCAGGGGACCTAGGCTTACCCTTCATAAAAGGGCAAACATCTCACTGAGAGTTCTAAGGGGTGCACACAACTCCAAGATAAAAAGCACTTCCTGCCAGACATGTGGAAAAGACAGTCTTCTAGATTAAGTGGTATTATATATTATATAATTTTATACATATTATATGACTGGTGGTGATCCCTAGCCTTAGAGTAGAGAAATCAGCACTAATATTTGTTTCCCAGCTTTAACAGAATCAAATATGAAGTTCATCATTACTTCATCTCTTCCCTAGCCACCCCACAGCCAAAAGAAACCAGAAAGGTGGGCTTGATTTTCATTGAATGTTTTCCTATTAAAGGCAGAGAAAACTGGACTCTCTAGCCATACCTTAAAAAATTAATTTGTGTAACATGTTCATATTCACATCAACTGCTCCATGACATGAGAGCTCCACACAGACACTGTGCTAAAAACATGTTTCTCTGATTCAATTAAAAAAAAAAAAAAGATAATACAAAACAGAGGAATAACAAAATCAGGAGCAGTTTCTTGAGCTAGAAGGATCCCAGACTGAATTTGGTTGCTGTCCCAAAACATAAATAGCTTCCTCAAGACTCCTGACATATGCCTTCCAATTCTAATGCCTGCACAGATGGATAAACCACACCTCACCGTCTTCTGATCATCACTTTCTTACACTGAGAGCGAATCTGCTTCCTTCTAAGTTCCCAACACTAATGGTATTTCCTTCACTGTTTTAAGAAGGCATACAAACTAACAAGGCACTGTATCTGCTAAATATAGTAACATCAAATTTTATTTAATGAAGTTTTATGAATAACAGCTTCTGGCTTCCATGTCACTAACACTGACCCTTCACTTGCTCCACTGGTCCATGATTTTTGTAAAACTCAAGACACAAGCATATTGATAGAAAGACCACTCTTCAATATTAACATTCCTTCACAAACTTCAGTTTGTCCCTGTTATAACACACCTTAAATAGTACTGTTAGGGTTTTTTTAGTTTAGAAGAAGTATTTTTTAAAATTGGTATCTGAATGCTCTGTACGGCACAACTTACATGAAGAGTTTGATAGTAGGCGTCTTTCATTTCTTCACTGCTGAGCTTTACTTCTTTCAGTTTAGGGGCTGGAACTTGATCATGGCCAATAAAAGACATAACTAAAATGTGTTTCTTGAGTAGTACAACTGTTGGACAAGGAATTCCAGCTCTCTGCATCCTATACAGAAAGAAAGGATCAAGAAGGTAAAGATCAGTAGGAGAGAGTATTTCATTTATTCAACAAATATCTAACGAGGTCCTGCAATGAGCTGGCACTGTGCTCCACTCTGGGGAATGCTGGAATGCAAAGGCAGTATGACACAGCCTCTGCCCTCACAGAGCCTGTGGCCTGGTATAAACAAAAGATGAGTAAGGAGATGATGACAGTGCAATGTGGTACGGGCACTGGCAGAGATGTGGGTAGGCGGCATCGAGGAAGAAGCGGGCAGACAGGAACCAGCCAGGTTCAAACTATGGGGAGGTGTGGTGTGGAAGCTGCTATGAGATGCAGAGGCATCAAGGTGCACCGTCCACGTGTGTGTGTGTGTGTGTAAATCAACACAGTTGGATCGTGAGTGGGAGCAAGGACAAGTGGGCTGAGCCCACAGAGAACGGCTGGCTCCGCGTCACAAAACAGCTTTGAACTTTACACTAAAGACTAGGGGAACTGCGGAAAAACGTTAAGAAAGGCAGTGATGAGGTCTTAGTTAATACAGGAAAGAGCCTGTAGGGCAGAAAGGCCTCTTGGGAAATTATCCTAATTAGAAGTCCTACTAAATAGAAGACTTGCAACTAATAAATATGGATAATTATGTTTGAAAGCAAATAACTTTAGGAAAAGCAAACTAAAATGAAAAGCTTTTAATAGTTCAAATATAGGAAGGTTTGTGAATAAGAAAGATTATTACTCAATTTCTTGGTTGACAAAAAAATTTCCTTCATAAATTCTGTTTAGAGAATTGGGCAACAAGTCTAAAAATTAAAGCAAAATGCAATCTCACTGGTAAAACCCTACCCTCACCAAATTAACAAATATTAGATGGGATAAACCTTTCCTGAACAAAAAAGGAAATTATTATTTATAATATGCCTAACTGGAAGCTGGAAAAGATAGCATTTAGATATATGACAAAATATCTTTAGTAGAAAATGACTTAATTTCCCTCAAACTTTACTGAGGAAAAGAAAAAACAAAATGGATTTTTCACCATATGAGTATGAATTCAGGTTATATGCATGGAAATGCTTTCTTATAGAAGCCCTCCTTAAATACTAGAATTTCAAGGCCTTTCATGCTTTCTACAAATGAATTTAAAAGAAAGCATGGGTGTTTTTGCCAGGCTGGTAGACTTAATACAAAGAGGTGATCACCCAAGATGACTTCCAGCACAATGATTTTCTTTACCTTGTAAGATTGTGCATTTCTTTTTCTGCCCACATGCGGATGATCTTACGCGGATTTAGTTTACTGAAGCGATCTTTAAACCTGAAATCATCTTTAATATATTTGTCACGATTCTTAAACTCATTAAGGGTTGTTTTAAATACCTTGATGGCACATTCTGTAGGTATAACTTTACTATCTTCCTTTCCATCCTCCATGCTAAGTGGAAGAAACAAACATTAAGTCAGTGTAAGGTGCCAGGTAAATAACAATTTCAAAATAAAAGATTTTATGACATGAAAGTAAATCTATCTTCTCTGAGAATGGAAGCCTTGGGGTGTTTTGCTTTTTTTTAAGCCTCCACGTTTTAGGTCTTAAGAAAACCCTAGCTTTTAGCTTTTTTAATAAGACACACTTTCAAATAAATTGTCAACGGTTTTCAACAACCCATAATATAATCCTCATTTAACGACTATGGAAGTAAACTTGAACAGTGAAGACCTATACACTTGCCCAAAGTTTATTCAAATTTCCTTAATCAATTTTTTTTTCCTTTTTTTTTTCATACACTTTAAAATAGGCTGCAGTCTGCCTGGAGTCTGTCTCCCTCCCCACAGCCAACCCCACAGCACAGACTGTCCACTCTCACTTTCCAAACACACACCAGCAGTCTCATATTCTTCATCTTCATCACCTGTTAGTCTGACTTAAGTCATCTCTCAACTATCACCACAACTTTCTAACTGATCTGTTTCTTCTCTTGCATTCAAGAAGAACTAGAATTCATTTCCCACACAGCAATCTGAGTCATCTTTTGAAAATGAGACTCGAATCTGAGCTTTGGTTCCCAATGCACTAAAAAAGCAGACTCCTTACCCTGGCTTACAGAGTGTTGCCTGATCCACCCTTTGCTTCTCCAGCCTTCTGGATCCTCCTCACACACTACACTCCAGGGACACTGGCTTTCTTAATCTCCCAAAGATACCAAGCTTACACCTGTCTGAAGGCATTAGCACTAGCTGTTCTTCAGTCTGGAATATTCTTCCTTCTGATATGTGATACTGAATCCAGGTGTGTCATTCAAATCCAGGTTTAAATGTCACTTCATCAGAGGTTTCCTAGTCCTACTGATAAAAAGCAGTCACCCAGTCACTATGACATCACCCTGTTTTATCTATTTGCATGGCACTTATTTGATAATCTTGGGAGGGGACTGGAGGGAGGGGTGGGAAGGAAGTGGAGTCTATGAAAGCATGGACTTCCCTTTTACCAGTCATTGCTATAGCCCCAGTCCACAGAAGATGCCTGGAGCATGGTAGCTGCATAAATACTTGGTGAACGAGCGAACCAGTTTTCAGGGAGAATAGAGATTCTCTCGAAGCAAGAAATGATAATTTAAAGATGTTATAGACATCTCTCTCTGGATTTTGAGATAAGTTCTCTGTCACTGAAATAATTTAACCATAGGTAGATGAGGCCCTATCAAAAATACCACTGAGGAGATTCCTCACTTGGAAGGTCTCCAGGGTAGAATCTAATTTATATGATTCATCTTGTTATTCTCCTACTAAAAAAAACTTCCATGTTTCTCAGTAAATTACACAACCCTCTGCCGAGCTCTTAAGGTCCTCCTTATCAAATTCTGGTCTGCTTACACAATTTTATATCTTATTACGTCTAAATATGTAACTTCTAATTTTCTCACTGTCTAATCTCATTGACTAAATTTCAATCCTCCCATTTTCAGCACTCCCATCTCTACTTTTTTTTTTTTTTAAAGAATTAAACTTTACAAATAAAGGTGAAATTTCCTTTGATTACCACCTGTGGTAGTTAGTTTCATTCCCCATTTCAACTCTTGAGAGACAATCACGATCATGAATAGTACTTTTCTAATCTTTTAAAAAAGATACATACATATGTATTAAAAAAAACAATGTATGTGTGTTACATTCTGTATAATTTTTACCAGTTCTTACTGTAATGTCCTCCTCTTGAATATACCATAAGCTCTTTGAGAGAAGAAAACATGTTATATACACTTATTTCCTGAAAAAATCTAGCACATGTTACTATTCAAATAACTGTTGATTACTTGGTCAATCTGAGCATGACAAAACCCAGAAGAGCTCTGTGGCAGGCAGGACCTAAAAGGGTCCCCAAGATCCCAGTCCCTGGTGTACATGCCTGTATAAGCCCCTCCCTTGAGTAGATTACACTACAGCAAAAGTGACAGTACGGTCATTGCCAGGATTATCTTCCATCCTCTAAGACTCAGTCTTAGTAGACCCAAGGCAGAGAGTTTCCTGATTATTCTGAAGATGCCACCTGCTGTACAAAAGGGCTTCATGACTAGGACTTACAGGGGCCTCTAGGAGCTGAGAGCAGTCCCTGGCTGGCAGGCAACCAGAAGGTGGAGACCTCTGTCCTACAGTCACAAGGAACTCAACTGCGCCTATGGAAGAGGACGTCACGCTCCAGAAAGGAACACAGCCCAGCTGACATGCAAGACTGTGGCCCTGGGAGTCCCTGAGCAGAGATCCCAGCTAGGCCGTGCCTGCCCGAACTTCCGATCAACAGGAACCATAAGATAATACATAGGTGTTGTTTTAAGTTGCTATATCTGTGGTAATTTGTTATGGAGCAGAAGAAACTAACTTATACTTTAAAATATATTTACTCTCAGCTGTTGAAAACCAAATGCTCTCTAGCTTTACTAACTTACAAATGCCAAAGTATAGATTATAATACCAATTCCACCATAAGGAAAGGGAACTCACTTGCTCTATCAAAGGATCATTAAGATGAACAAAAAACGGACAAAGAATAAACAAGGCAAATGACAAGAAAAGAAACCCAAGTGGCTAATACATGTGAAAAAAAAAAACCAACCTAATCATAACTAAATAAATGTACACCAAAACACTAAAAAGGTATTTTCCATCTTTTACACTGAGAAAAAAATATTAAGTTTGATAAGACTAGGCACTGATGAGGATGAGGGAAACAGGTTCATACTGCTTACTGGTGGTGCATAAACTGGTTAACCGTCTCACTGGGCAATTTGGCAACACCTACTGACATTCAGAATTATGCAACCTGCAGATCTAACTAGCTCATAGAGAAAAGTATATTTGCCTCACTATTAAAAAATAAACAAATTTAAGATTTCTGGCCTTTGGTGTGACACATAAGAAGAAAAAGTTTTTAAAAAATTTTAATGAATAACAGAAATCAAGAAACATTGGTTGCTATAATAGCCAGCTCAGCGGCCCAAACAGTGAGCAAAATCTGGTACTCTCCCTTCAGTAAGGCCTTCCACTGTTTAACAGCAAGGGGAAAAATGCATGCAGTCTTTGCCCCAGCAATTCCAAGTATTAGGAATTTAGCTTAAGGATTTATTTGCAAAAGCACACCAAAGCTTATGTACAAAGATATTCCTGTATATTCATAGAGTGGAATGTTCTACTATAAAAATGGTATGATATAAACCAATAAAATAGAAGGACCTGAGATATATTAATTGAAAAAAAAGATGCTGAATGCAGCATATAAACAAAAATAAGAAATACATGCCTAAAAACTTCTAGAAGACTAGACTAAAAACTATTAATAGCAGTAACCTTTAGAGGAAAAACCTGTGGGGCCACAGCTGGTAAGATGAAGGTTACTTTAATTTGTGCCATTAAGTTATGTTTGCCTGATCTCAGGGAACCCTCAGTTGAAATCTGGAAAGAGGGCAACAGAGCTTAGAGTAAAAAAAAAAAAAAAAGGTTTATTAAGATTAATTTATACCAGGTAAATCAAATATGATCTCAATTTCCCCCATTCAAATCCTATGAAGGGAGGGTCAGTTTTCAAATAAGTTTAATAGACTGCTCCAGATCACATTGCTTAAAAAATGTTGAGTCATTTAAAAAAAAAAAAAGAAAAAAATGTTGAGTCATTTTAACCTAACATTCATTTTTATCCCTTTCATTTTGGAACTTAGTGTAATTCAATACATAATTATATGTATATGTCTCATCCAGAAAGGGAAAAAAGTTAAATAAGAAAACTAAAGACAAGTACTTGAGCAGTAATTGTTTGAATCCCTTTAAGTATATAATAAATACCTTCTAAAGCTAAAAATAACTAGAATAATCTGTAATCTATTTTAACATTTTTGTTTATAAACACTGCTAACATAAAGGATTAGCTGAGCTGGTAAGCCTTGCTGAACTAGTTAAGACTTCAAAGCCAAGTAACCAGATGACATCATATTCCTGGTTTGTACATTCTCTCAACAGGCTCCACATTTAAAATGTTTTCTCTTCCTCATGCCATCCTTTACTCGACTAAGCTCCAGTAACAAAAGTAAAGTGGGTAAGATCTAAAATGACAAAAAAGCTTTAAAGACATCTGTTTAAATAACGCAAGCATCATTAAAAGGGGGAGGAATCAATAAGTGATCTAAGTATAACCCTCCCAACTTGGTATCAGAGTCCCATAGAGAAAAGAAAAGCTTTGAATCAAACTCAGGTTCAAATTTTGCTATGCCACTACAGCTGCCTGTATGATATAGAACAATTAACAATAATATGAAAAATAATACGTTCACAGAAAGACAACTGGAGGAGTCTACACAAAATTATTACTGGTTCTCTCTTGATGATACAATTGGGATGACTGTTTTTGTTTTTTTGTTTTTGGCCACACGGCGAGGCTTGCAGGATCTCAGTCTCCCAGATCAGGGACTGAACCTAGGCCATAGCAGTGAATCCTAACCACTAGACCACTAGGGAACTCCTGTGGAGCCTAACCACTAGACCCTTGATTGTGTTTTTCTTTTTATGTCCCTACATTGCTGAAACTTCCTAAAATAACACTTTAAACTTTGATTTTATGTATATTCAGAACAAGGGACTAAGCTTTGGTTTATATTATGGTATTGTTTTCTGCTCATTTACCTCCCTCCATATGCATGAAAGACAACAGATTCCTTTCCTGTACTAATACAGCCAGTGATTGTCTCCAACATTCCAGAGTTGACCATTTTATACATAAGTAAACGTGTCTTAGGATCAACTGCTTTTTCCTGCAAAAGATAAAGTGCTGTAAGTGAAAATGACTGGTAATCACAAAACATTTTCTGAGCCATTTCTAATATCTAACATCCAAAATATACACTTTAAAACTTTTATTGTTCATTTACTTAGATGTATATATAACAGGCTCTTAAAAGAGGACTGTTAAGATACCACCCATTCCTATAACTCTACTGTCTCTGAAAGTGAATATCTAGAAGAACTACTAAAAATCAGACTAGCTTAGTCAAAGTTTTATCTCCAAACTTTAAATAGCTCTCCTGATGTACCTACCATTAGTTTGTTTTTCTAAAAGTTTAAAAATTATTCTCAAGATACTAGACACTAACTTGATTAATGTAAAACATTACAAACTATTACATTATTATAAATACATCCTGACAGAAAACAATTTCTCATATGCAATGAAAGCAATATAGTCCAAATTAATTATGACCACTGAAAAGGCTAGTCTTGAGTAACTGATTAATAACCATTACATGAAATTTGAAAGTCAAATAGCAAAGCTACTTGGGTTTTATTCACATCTTTGATTTGAAAAGTCAATCTCATGAAAAAATATCAAACATGAACTTTTGTCTTGTTTTTCCTCCAAATGTGAAGTTTTCCAATATCAATCTTTCCATTAAACGTAAGAATACTTACTGCAGTAGAATGCTCCTTTTTCTCATGGAGACGGGCACTTCGACGTTCTTCTGAATAGGCATGTTGTTTTAAAGCATTGAAAACATGGTTTGATAGTTTTAAGTCCATTCCAATTCCATCTCCTACCTGAAACCCAGGTGCAAACTGCGAAAATGAAAAAGAAAAATCAGCATCTGAATACTTTAACATGGGACAGGGAAAAACAGTTTTACTTGGATTAGGTTATCTACTCAATAGATGATTACACTATGAAAGCAGAATCCACAGACATTACAGAGGAAAAGCCAAAATAACTCACCAGTGAGTGCAACAGAGAGGGAAACAAGGCTTTTTGAAGAAATTTCATCCCAAAGGAAGGGAGGATTTATTTTATGCATAAAAAACATCCAAACACATCTAAAAACTAAGGTATTTTAGCCTATGCTCTGAACTTTGCTTTTATATCAAAGGATATATTATATTGTGAAATCACACCAAGTCTTACCAAAAAAAAAAACCCAACCAATTTCACAGTCAATTAGTTTTGAAGAGTGGGGTAAAATAGCAAGCTATGCCCACATTATGACAATTAAGTCCAATATGGAAGCCACTAGCCACATGTGGATATTTATATTTAAATTATTAAAATAAAATTAAAAATTCAGTTCCTCAGTTGTACCAAATTTCAAGTACTCAGTTGTCAAATATGGCTACCATATTAGATAGCACTGGTACACACAGCATGTAGTATTATAAAAAAAATTCTATTGGACAGAGTTGTTCTAGAATCAGATCTAGATTATTTCTAGAATTTCATAATATGTTTACTTAACAAGCATTTTTGTTCTGAAGTCTAAATGTCTTATATTTACCACGATATTTATGAAGGAGGAAAAAAATGTCATTTTTTTCTATTTTTCAAAAATCACATTTTGTTTCTGATTTTGCAGGGGTATGCACAAGATAAAAAATTCAAAAACTGTAACATGGTATACAGCAGGAAGTATTTCCACCTCCCACTGTTATCCTCCAATCACAATATCCTAAGGTATTTCACATGGAAAACTAAGATATTGAAAAATGTTACTTTCATAAGAACAGTTTCTTATTTTTAGAATCAATGTAAATCAAACTAGTTTTCTAACATTGTTGGAGAATTTTATTCTGAGGTACAATATATTCTCATCAGTGGCTGAGTTTCCATTGTGTTGCTGTACTGTCTTCTAAAGTATCTCTAGAAAGGATGAAGGATATTTTTAGAAACTTATAGTGTATTTAGAATCCTATGTTTTTAACTTATCCTAATAAAACTTTAGGATATTTATGATTCAGAGGAATCCTTTCTGTAACTTACATTTTCCATTCTGGCTGTGTTCTTTCTCCCACATACTACTTCATCGTGTTTGGTGGTGATGTCTTTTCCTTTTCCAATAAAACCCTTTTTGGGAGTAGGAACTGGTTTTGCTAAAGGTGATTAAGACAAATCAAGTATGTAAAAATAGCAGAGACTAAATTGCTGTATTCATTATTGTCTGAAAAAGATATCTGAATCTAATAGTAAATTACCAAATGAGAGTCAAAGATGAATATAGAATACTTAGTCCTCCTGTCTCCCCATTCTATGCCCCCAGAAGGTCAAAGCCCTGATACCTGGTCTGTAGGGGTCATCACGAGTGTCCTGCCAGTCAACCTCATCTTCAGAGCTATCACTGTCTTCATAAGGATGCACTTTTCGATAATTTTCAAAGGAAATGGAAACTTAAAAGGCAAAAACAGTTGAAGATTTATTTAGGGCCCATTACAAGCATTTCCTACCACCCAATGGGATTGTCACAATAAGGTCATAGTACCTTTGCTATCTCCATTGAATTTTTTTTCTTCACGCCTAAGCTGGGCATCATATTCTCTGTCAAACTCCATCTGTAGCATCTGAGCCAGCATTAGGTCGCTGGAAGTGTCAATGTTTTCTCCAGTAATAAATGGTCCTTCAGCAACACTATTCAAAATAAGCAATATAGACTAATATAATGTGCTGGTGTAAACAGATGCTACCAATCATGGGTGAGATGTGCCTTTTCAGTCTTAACACTGTATTGAAGAAACAATGGAAGAACTTTACCAAATCCTTCACCCTCTCCTGCCCAGCTGCCCTCTGACCAACAGCAGGCACCTGTGAGAGCACCGAACAGGATTAAGGGAGCTTTAAGAAACAGAAAGCTAAAGGGCCTATCATAAGAACCAAGCAGACCCCAAATTCATTTGTTCTGTGTTCTGATCAGAGAAGAGACGATGTATATATGGAAAGATAAACTACCAACACTTAATGAAAACTGTTAATCAATCTATTTGATTATTATTTGTTAATCTATTCGATAACAGAGTTCAACTGTTGCAGTAACTAAAACCCAGAGAAACTGAGTGGTTTGCCCAAGACAATACTGAAAACTAGTCACAAAATTGGGACCAAAACCCAAGTATCAGCGAACTCCCAAAATGGCACTCCTTCTATTGCACTGCTTTTCTAAATCTCTGACTCATTTGTTATGACAATCACTAATCAAATCCTAAGACTTGGCTATGGTCAGTTGCTAGATCAAATAGATTCTTTGTGACTTTTACTTACGCAACTTCAGGAAAAGCGGCAGCTTCTTCTTCTAACTGCAATTCTTTAGCCAACTGCTCACTCATTACATCAGACAAAGAACAAGATATTGTATTTTGAGGGGTAGCCCATGGACACTATAAAAAAAAAAGGCAATTCAAAATAATGAAATGAAAGTGACTTCCAAACTTGGAAATAAGCTTATTTTTTGAGAATTAGATGAGTTAAATAAACTCAAAAGGAATGTTTAGTTTTTTGCAGAAATAATCTTGAAGGTAGAAATAGCTCCTAGCTCAAATCTAATCAAAGATACACCTAGACTATGACAGCCAAGAGCACTTTCCAGCCTGCTTGGTGGGAATATCCTTATAGCAGAGGGGAGCACAGGCTACGCCAGCATCACCTGACTAGCCACTGAGTTCATAGGATGCCCCTTGTTCTGATATCATGCTCACCAAGCAACTTATACTTTGCTCACCTTCCACTTTTGGCTTCCTGGGTAGATTCTCTTACAGGAACAGGCTATACCAACTACCACAATTCAAAGCCCACTTAGAAGTTATACTTCCTTCTAATTTAAGCAGTAAGTCTTCAACAAGTAAAAAGTGTACGGCAGCCCCTGTCAAGATATCCTGGGATACGCTAAAACAAAAAAACCCCCCCAGCAGTTACAAACAATGAACCCTATACTTCTGAACTTTAGAAGTTGAGAGATGGATTCTTGAAACAATATTACTAGAGCAAAGTAGTATTCTGTGAGACTCTTCAAGAACAGCTGGCCGGTCAGTCCTCCTCAATGGCATCACCATCTCAGCCCTCCTGCAATGTGTATAAACCACAGGTTTATTTCACAATTCCTAATTTCTGAAGGGAGAAGCAGCCAATGACTCCACCTGAGAGTCCAGTGATTAAGACCATTAATACTAATAAGAAGTCTAAGTATCTCCTGAGCTTGCCCTCTATCCCCTTTCCGAGGAGTCATCCTCGCATTGCTGGGTTACTCACCGCAAGAGCCTCCTAACTCTGCCTTCTGTTTGCTTCCACTCTCCACACCACAACACAATGGATTTTCTAAAATGTAGATTTGACTGGCTCAGTTTCCTTATTAAAGTTCTTTTATTGCTTTAATGTTTCCCACTGCCTTCAAGATAAAGTCCAAACTCATTTCTTAACCACTACCACTCCTGAGTCTAATTTAGAATAGCATGTGATGCTAAGTGTTTCAGCCAGAGCCCAGCAGAGGACTTCAGACCTAAAGAGGCATTCGACGTCTTTACTAACCAGGCGTCAAAAGGAAACCTGGGGATATGTCAGGGAACGGCCATGGTGTCCGTAGGCTGGAGAGGTCTGATTTCTTTCTACACTGCTCCTAGGTTAAAGTCCTCCTCTCCACCATGCTGTCAGCCCCTCTGCCCACCCACTTCTCAGGCCTCTAGTCTCCAGCCAGCAGTCAATCAATTCTCCTAAGATGTTAAAACATCTGTGGACAATCTCCCAAAGAGAGGTAAATGATGAAAGGCTGTCACTGTATTACTTTGGAGGCAGAGATTTACCGACTTCCAAGACAGACTGAATGGGAAAGGGAGACATGCAGAGACTGAGAGCACCAACAAGACACCAGGCCTGCTCAGTCCTGCTGACCGTGCTCCTGGGAGCCTGAGGCTCTAGAGCCGGACTTCTCTCTACTCCTGCTGGCCAGCTCAGCTGGGCCACCTCACATTGAGGTGACTTCCTTGGGTGGGATAAATAAGTAAAGATTTCTGAAAGTCTGCCAACTTCCATACTTTGAAATCACATCTTCAAACCAGTAGCCCAATATCCCTCCTTAAAACATTCTGGGCTGTGAGGGACAGCTGCCAGGCATGGTAGCCCTCCACAAGCTCAAGTGGTCCACCATCCCGCGGGGGGCTTAGAAAAGGCCCTCGGGTCCCTCCTCCGAATGGGCACCGTTGTGTGAATGGAGGGGAATCTTCTCTTGTCATATTGCAATTCTTAAGGAAGTTGCCGGCTCCCTCTGTCAAATGTTTAAGGAGATAAGAGTAAAAGGCCCTTGTTCTACCCATGCAATCCGGCATCATTTCCCACTACTGCTGTCAACAAATTATAAACTGACCAGGGCATCAAGATCTGATGGGAAACTCCAACCACTTCCAGTTAGTTATTCTGCTTTAAGTGACATCTACCAGTCCCATCATCAGCTCCCTGACTCCTGTTCGCTGAGGACCCGGGACCTGCCCTGTTCTCCTCTCCTGGGAAACTGCAACCACTGAACGCAGCAACGTGGGGTCTTCACAGTTACCATCCTCCCACACCTAGCTGGCTGCAGATGGGAGGGAAATCATTCCCTTCCTTCTACTCTTCAAGATGCATCACAAGCTGCCCATCCCGCTTTTTGTTTCTTTTTGAAGATTTTACTGCACACAACTATGGGGAAAGAATCAACTTAAAAACAAGAAACTAAAAAAACAGCAAACACGAAGGAGGTACATAATAACAAAAATTCTGTCCTCAACTTGCAGTCAAGGGAACTATAACTCACAGCAAAGTCCCTTTTCTGCTCATGCAGCTGGAAGACATAATCTAGGCAAAATATTTAAGTGGGTAATTTTACTTCTCAAAACAAGGATTTCTGCAAAATGTGATCTGAGCCTATACAACAACACTACTTTTTTTTTTTAAACTTTCAATTTTAGAGTATTTTTAGAGTAACAACAACAAAAAATCACAAAGACTGTAGAGTCGCCAGATTCCCTATACCCAGCATCCCCGTGTAGATACTGTACTTACATCACAATTAATGAGCTCAATCATTAATTAAAGCCCATACTTCATTCAGATTTCCTTAGCTGCCCCCTAATGTCTCTATTCTGTTCCAGAATACCATCAAAGATACCACATAACATTTAGTCATTATGTCACCTTAGGCTCCTCTTGGCTGTGAGTTTCTCAGACTTTCCTTGTTTTTGGTGACCTTAACAGGTCTGAGGAGTACCACTAACCCACTTGTTACAGCTCTTTCCAACAGAGCTACATACTTCCTCACTTTTGCCTACAGTATGTCCATTCTCTCTTCTTGGAATAGTCCCTAAAATTCATTGCTCATAAGAGCAGCTTGGCATTTTGTAACTGAGGACCCCAAGTCCCTTTCGGGGTGTCTAAGATGGGCATGAGTTTGAGTAAACTCCAGGAGTTTGTGATGGACAGGGAGGCCTGGCATGCTGCAATTCATGGGGTTACAAAAGAGTCGGACACGACTGAGCGACTGAACTGAACTGAAGAGGTCAAAATTATTTTCATAATAGTTCTAAAAAAGTTTCACTCTCATTCTCTCAAGAGTGTAGAGTTTTCCAGAGTCTATATCAGACATGACGGCAGCACTCTGGGGGTTACTAGAATGAGTGCCTGTGTACTGTATTCTCCAAAAATTTCAAAGGTAGTGGGTTTAGAATATAAATGTGAATTTTAAACTACCATACATAGGATGGACAAACACAGCACAGGGGACTATAGTCAATATCCTGTGATAAACCGTAACGGAAAAGAACATAAAAAAGAATGCATGTATATGTATAACTGAATCATTTTGCTGTACAACAGAAATTAAACACAACACTGTAAATCAACTATACTTCAGTAACATTTTTTTAATGTGCATTTTAAAAGATTAACTCAGTTTGTTCTCAGTGTATCTAAGGGGCTCTTATTACCCATCTGCAATTATGCCTGCTAAAATCGATGTATTTGTAAGGATGGATTTTCTTCATATACTTCAACTGATACATACTGCAATGGACTGAAGAAAAATGAGCTATGAAAATCCAGCTGTCTTCTACTAAGTTACTACATTAAAGAGATTTGCAAAAACACAAAATATTACTCCACTAATTTTTCATTTTGGAAAATAGCTTTTTTTGTAAAACATAAAAATATTATTTATATAAACATCATGATTTATATCACTTAATAAAGTTTTTTAATATCTGTTTTAATTTCTGATATGACAAATAGCAATAGATATAACCAATATAAACAAAAGTTCTTAGAGTTCTCAATGGTTTTTAAGAGTATAGAGAAGTCCTGATGGAAAAGTTTTGAGAATCATTAGCCTTTAACATTCTTTCCATTTTCCAAGGTTTTCCTCAAATCTCCACTTACTCCACACAGGTTTCTATAATCACTTCCATCTTCCAAGAGGTTAAAGAAGGAAATGATACTTGCAGTGTATTTCTATTGTTTCCCCATGAAAATGCTGTCTTCTCAACAGATCAGTAAACCCCAAAATGATCTCTTATTGCAAGATGAAAATGAAATTTTATAGTTCTGATGATGCACACTTAAATGAAAATATGACTGATGTCAAATATTTTATTATTGAATTAGTTTTGGAAGTGAAGTTTGTTCTGAGCTTAGGTATTCTGAGCAAAGTTTGTCTCATCTGACATTTTTACAAGCTTTACAAGCTTACCTGGAGAAATTTAACATGTATAGTATATATTTACTAGTGTCTTTCTAATGACTTGTTCTTTTACATCTACTGATCTTGATCTTGTAAACAAAGCTTTGACAAGGAAAAAATAAACAATATAACAGACAGATGTAACCACATTTGCCAATTAAATATCCTAGATTCTTCTTATGGTTGTATGAGAACTTTTATAAAAATTTCCTTTACAGTACTTAATAGCTCATATTTCCCCCGCTTTCTGTTAAGACCTGGTATGAAGATCTAATAAGATTAATGAATGACCCTTTAAATGGAACAAATGTTCTGTCAACATGTAAAGAAGTCGGTGAAATGGGTAAAGGTGGTCAAAAGATAGAAACTTCCAGTTAACAAAATAAATAAGGCATGAGCTGTACTATACAGAATGACTAAAGTTAATAATGCTGTACTGTACATGTGAAAGTTGCTAACAGAGTAAATCTTAAAAGTTCTCATCTCAAGAAACAAATGTAATCCTGAATGCTAACTAGACTTACTGTGGTGAGCATTTTGCAATATATACATGTATCAAGTCATTATACTGTACATCTTAAATTAACATGCTGTTAAATGTCCATTTTATTTAAAACAATGAACAATTAGGAAGCTAAAAAAGTTAGATTCCTTCACAACCTTAATTTGAGGAACACAAAATCTCAATTGACCCATTTATGCTTTCAAGAAAACCCTCCATAAAGTGGCAAAAGAATCTTTTCATCTTTCTAATGAAAGTATCATGAAAAGCAGCAGCCCGAAATAAAAAACCAAATGTTAAATGAGCATTTTAATTGGCCATTACAGGAAAAAGCATAAACGTTAAAACCAAAACATAACCATCTTACAGTTTGTAAACACTTCCTGGAGGGGAGGAAGGGTGCGCCTCGACTTACCTCCTAAACTTACTACTTCAAAAACAACAAACTGCCCAAGTAGGATGACCACACTTGACAAGTTAAGATAACAGCTTCTTCAACCACCTTTCTGTCTGGCTTTCTGTGAGTAATTGGGCGGACTCATTTCGCTGGAGAAAAACAAGTTCGTGCTTGCCTTCCCTCAAACGTCAGCATCTCTAAGCAAGTCCCACCCAAATACATGCTGCTGCTGCTGCTGCTAAATCGCTTCAGTCGTGCTACGGGGGTTCAAAAACCAAGGTGCAGAACTAGACGGAGACTCCGAACCGGGGTGGCCTTTGGTAGCCTGTGCCTCTTCCCTGCCTCTCTCCCCGACACCCGCAGCCCCGCCGCCCGTCCTCCCTTTCCCAGGCGCTTGGTGTTCAACCCAAAACTTTCTAAGTCGCCTGGGAAGCCGCTTCGGCGCCTGCCATCCTCTCCGGGTCCTCCAAGAGGACCAGTCAAGGAGGCTACGGCAGGTGCGTCAACCCCGACTGCCACTCACCTTGCTGGGTCCCCAGGCCGCTGCTGGCCCGGGCTCAGGGGATGCCACTCTGACCAGATCCATGTAGGGGAAGAAGTCAGCGACGAGAACAGAGCAGAGAAGTGGCAGGACCGGGAAGCAGCTCCGCCGAGGAGGCAGGCGGCGGGGCAGGGACGGCAGGGTGCTGATGCCGGAGCTCAGGTGACAGATGGCGGCGGCGGCGGCCGCGTCCGGAAGTAGACCGCTTCTCTTCCGCCTTTTACGCTGGTACGCTCGCTTCCGATTGGCCGCCTCCAGGGGCTTCGCGTTAGGTCACCTTTCTCCGCCTCAGAGGACCGCACTTCCGGTCGCTGCCCTGGCCGGAGGCTGGTGGTCACTGTCGCTCTTTCCTGGCCGGGCAGCTGCCGGGTGTGGCTTCCTCTGGCCAGGCTCTACGCTGACCCTGAACCACCTCTTTGGCTGCGCGAGAGGGCTGCTGTATCAAGTTAAACGGAATCAGAGTGCGTGGACTGTAAATAAACAAGCAGAACAGACTCTGTTCATTCAGTGTTTCCCCGGCTGGATTCTCAACGGGGATGAGATGGGAGACTGAAAATGGCAGGTTTAGAGAAGGGAGATCGAAGGAAACGGTCGGGTTTTGTTTTTATTACAGTTGTCGGTAGGAGGCGGGGCGAGGAGTGTGAAATTTTGTAAAATGTGTTATATAAAATGGAGCAAAAATAGGACTGCGTAATAAATGTTTTGATTCAGCTTTTCGTAACGTGACCGGAAAAATCCGGAATAGGTAAATCTGTGAAGACAGAAATCAAACTGGTGGTTGCCAGGGAACAGGGTTGGGAGGAGGCAAACGAGGAGTGATTGGTTAATGGGTAAAGGGTTTTCTTTTGGGTGATGAAGCGGTTTTGGAACTTGTTATCGTTGATAGTTGGACAGTATTGTGAATCTGTTCAATGCCACTGAATTTTACACTTTGAAACGTTTACACTTTACCTCAGAGAAAGAGTGTGTGAACGAACCATTTAAGTGTTTTAGGGGTAAAGCAGATACTGGCTATTCTCAGATCAGAGGAAACCACAGTGAAACAATGGTGAGGACGAGGTCAGGAAGCTTAAGGGAGCAGAGTAAAATGACAGGATGTTAGATGGGTGATCCACGTGGACCCTGAAATTACCCAGCAAGACTGCAGGGCTTGGGGTGGAATGGAAGAGTGTGAGTAGGCGCTGGTCTTCAGAAAATGTGCAGATTGTAACCCAGAAAGCTCGGTAGATGCTCTGCTCCGGAATCTTAGAGACAGGCAGAGATGTCAGAGGACAGCCTTATAGCAGGAGTCACGTTTTGGTAGCTGCACTGGACAAAGCAAGGCGTGCCAGCTGGCTCCCCTGCCTTGCACACCAGGCAGAAATGAATAGTCTCAGAGGACACGCAGGCTTTACTTCAGACAAGGAAGAGAGAAGGCAGGCTGTGGGGACAAGGGAAGTTTCTTTATCCTGAGTTGGAATTCCAGGTTAGAACAGAGTTTGTGAGTTAACAATCCTAATGGTTGTGTCTCAACAGTTAAGGTATATACTTTATGCCATCAACTATGTGCTCCTTAAAAGGGAAGATAGAAATTTACAATATTTACAGCTTACACTTACAAATATTAACAGGAAAAATGTGGTTTACCAACAACAGCATGTTGTTGTATGTTACTTTTTTTTGTTTGTTTAGTCCTATATTATTAAATAGTGAGTTCTTGAATGGGGTAATGGCCATTTTGCTGTGAAGTGGAATAAGTACAATGTTTAAAAGATTTAGTTTCAGTTTTTACTCCTATCATTTCTGCTGATAAACTCACTGGTGCTCAGTTGAGATGATCTAGTGTAGAATTTGTACTCCCTAAGCACATGGAATCAGCAGATTCTTCAGTCTCTAAAGGGAACAGAATTAAAATTCTTTACTCTTTATTATTGAAATTAATTGTCAATTTTGAAAGTAACTGTTTCAAGCAATCAACAAATATTCAATAACTACTTACAACATTCCAAAAGTTCTATGGGAGAAGAAAACTGAGATATCGTTGGAGAGATAACATATGCACATAACAGTGTTGAATGACAATACAACACTTCTGTCTCAAAAGAGTGCATGATTAATTGCCACATGACAGCTATAGACAGTGAATGTTTCAGGATTCTTTGCTGGTTGGAGAAATCTAGAAAGGCTGCATGGAGGAGGTGCTACCAAATTAGACAATCAATTTGGAGAGAAGCTATAAAGCTAGTTTAGCTGGAATGAACAGCATAAAACTAGGTATAGAGGTAGGAAAGTCTATCATGTTTAGTGATGACAGAATTTTCCTAAGTTTTCTATAGTGGGGTGTTATGGATATAGGTCGGTTAGGTTCAACTGGGACACAGTGATTTTTGAACCCTATGCAACCCATTGCCATTTTCCTTCTTTCTTTCTTTTTTTGACTGCACCGCGTGACTTGTGGGATCTTAGTTCCCCCAACAGGGACTGACCCTGGGCCACTGGCATTGAAAGCCTGGAGTCCAAACCACTGGACTGCTAGGTAATTGCTGGTTGCCATTTTCTAACAACAAATATTTTGTTTTGTTCCCTTTACTGCACAATTATTACTAAAATTGATATAAAGAGTTGGACATGAATAACTGAACTGAATGTTCTGACTATAAAAGATAAATAAAGGGAGAATAATTTTTAATAAAATATATATTCTTGATCGCATTCAGATAAGGTATCCCAAGCAGTAGGAAGAAAATAGAATAGTGGTTCCCATTTCCAGGGGCCCCAGGGGAAGCTGTTCCCTGGGTGTAGAGTTTCAGTTTAGCAGGATGCAGAAGTTCTAGAAACCTGTTGCACAACAATGTGCATGTAATTAACACTACTATACACTTAAAAATGGTTAAAATGGTTATATAGCAAATTATATGTTGATATTTTAATGCAATTAAAAATGTGAATTTTAATATGTAAATATATCTGAGTGGATTTCTTTTCATTTAGTTTGCTCAGGATTCAGTGGGCTAGCTCTGAACATTTTTCTTTCAGTGCTAATAGACTGTTGTGAATTGTTCTGTCAGCTGCTTTTCTCCTCTTTTACACCATTTTCTACCTTTTTACAAGGAGTACCCGCTCTTGCTCTACAGGTGGTCACAGCCTTGCTGCTGCTGCGGCTGCTGCTAAATCGCTTCGGCCTTAGTGAACCTTATTCCTCCCTCCACATCTTGGGGAGCTGGCCCCGCCCACCGCGAGCCTGGGAGTTCTTGAGGAGGCGCGGCCCCTTTAAGAGGCAGGCACCGGGGGCGGTCGCTGCGCCGATTGGCGGAGCTCGCAGCCACGTGGCGGTCCTGGCAGCAAGGGCTGTGGCCCGGCTCTGGTGGAGGCAGTGGGGCTTCTGGGGGTCCCTGGGAAGGGGCGCAAGTTAGCAGATGTGCCTGAAGAAGTGTCTCGTCGGCCTCACGTTTTGTACCTGCTACCTGGCTTCTCACCTCACGAACAAGGTGAGGAGGGGCGGGTGCGGGGTGGTGATCATTGCCCGTGGGGGATCTGAGTCCCCAAATCGTGTGTGGACCAAATACTGCCTCCCGATTTTTATCTGATTTGCTCCTGATGGTGATGGAGAAGAAAACAACTCTGCACGACGCTCTTCTAGTAGTAAGATTTGTTGGACGGTACTGTCCTCGTTTCTCGTGCTGTCATACATTCTTTACATCTACTGGGAAACTGGATTTTTGACTGGTGAATTCCCAGGAACTTTATTTTGGGATATGTGGACTACTTTTTTGGGAAGGGGAAAGCTGTTGGCCCCTGTTCCCTCTAGGAGGAAGAGTAGGAGAAGAAATCATGCACGTTTTGCTCTCTCTTCTAAACATACCCCTGCCCTAGAACCACCAAGGTTCCAGAAGCCTTTAAATACAAGATATCAGTCCATCTCCATCTCTGCCTCACACCACTGATTCTCAAACCTAGTTTTCTTGTGACTCCATCCCAGGCATTTCGAATATATTTGAGTTTTTCGTGAAATTATTAAAAAATAAAACGTAAACTTAATTTTGTTTAATGTCATAAAACCCTTTTGATGAAAAGCAGTGGCACTGTGTTTTTGTTTTGTTAGGAGGGAGCCTTGGGTTTGGCACTAGGTAGAGAAATGTTAGATCCCTGTGAGCTAGGGTGGGATATCACCCCTTGTCCTGGACTCTGGGGTAGATGCCAAGCCAAAGTGATGATAGGGGGCTCAGGACCACCTTTCCCCACCGTAGGATCTCTATTACTCTCTTTCCACTCCCCCTTGTGGGGGGAGAAAAAAGCAAACCCAAAACCCTCTTTCTCTAGAAAAGAACCACTAGCAAATAGCAATGAATGAGCGTTTATTGTCTTCATGAAGGTTGTTCAGGATGATGCAAGACATGGTCCAGATGCTAACGTAATCCTTCCCCTGTCTCAATGTTACAAATAAAATATTAGAGGAAAGTGCAGAGGAACATATTGACTTAACGTGAGTAAATAGGCTTCAAAGAAGCATGAAGGTCCATCTCTAGAATATATACACCAGAGCATAGGCAGGTAACTATACCTGTAACATTTAGAAATTCATACATGGGGAACTACAGGTTGATTAATCCATGGGGGGAGAAAATAGAAATGTAAGCTTGTATTAACACCAGTCTATTGTGCTTTTCCGGAGAAGGCAATGGCACCCCACTCCAGTACTCTTGCCTGGAAAATCCCATGGACTAAGGAGCCTGGTGGGCTGCAGTCAATGGGGTCACTAAGAATTGGACACGACTGAATGACTTCAGTTTCACTTTTCACTTTCATGCATTGGAGAAGGAAATGGCAACCCACTCCAGTGTTCTTGCCTGGAGAATCCCAGGGATAGAGGAGCCTGGTGGGTTACCATCTATGGGGTCGCTAAGAGTCGGACACGATTGAAGTGGTTTAGCAGCAGCAGCAGCATTGTGCTTTTTAGATCATGTGAAGAATCAGTGGTGTCCTTGCTTAAAGCCATTTAATGGTCTTTAGGCTTTTAAAAAATTCTTTAAGTGTTCGATCATAGAAAAAATAGAAAAAGATACCCAGAAAGACAAAATACAGTTCTCCTGTTCATAATGTGCTGTAAATTTGGTTAAAAGACATATGAGAAATACAAGTTGATCTTAGTTGAATTGGCTTAAAAAAAAAAAAAACCCTTAAAAAACACACCTAACGTGTTAGATACCTGAGCAGAATTAGTTAGAAAAAAAATCCTAAGAATGAAAAACCAAACAAAAGTGGAAGGAAAACAAAGGAAAGAATGAATAGGATGACAAACACAGAAGGCAGTGAATTTTTAGGTAAACTGGGCAATATATCTACTTTATCAAGAAAACTCCGAGAAAACCGACTGTGTCCAGGGGTTTTTCCAGTTTTCTCTGGAGTTGCCACGGTTATAGCATGGCACTTCCAAGGTCTGGGAATGCTGAGAGGGATCAGCTGGCCGCAGTATCTGGCCCAGCTGTTGTATGTTCCACTTGGTTCCATCCCCAGCTGAGAGGTGGTCAGGCTTCTGGTGACCCTGGGGAAAGCAGCTTCCCTCACCCCCTTTTTAAAATTTTACTGCAGTATAGTTGTTTTACAATGTTGTATTGGGTCCAATTGTACAGTGAAGTCATTTAGTTATACATATGCTCATTTCTTTTTCAGCTTCTTTTTTCGTATAGGTAATCATAGAATACGGAGTAGAGTTCCCTGGGCTCTACAGTAGGTCCTTGCTGGTTGTCTATTTCATATATATGTATATGTTAATCCCAAGCCCTGATTTATCCCTCTTCCACAGGTTTCTCTTTTCAATATCTGTAAGTCTGTTTCTGTTTTATAGGTTCATTTGTCATTAAAAAAAATACATTCCACATATGAGTGATGGCATATAATACTTGTCTCTCTGACTTCACTTAGCCCCTCTCTTTAGTATAAATTGGAAGGTCATTGTTTTTCCCTACTGTGTGATTTCTTTGGGGAGGATAAGAAAGGCCTTTTTGAAACTTGAGTGTATTTATGTTTCTTTAGTAGGGATTTCCTTGATTTATATGGTCTATCAATTCTCTATAATTTGAAAATGCCCATTAATTTGATATTTGTTTTTCAGTATGTCCTGTCTGTCTTGAAATTTACCTACCCTACGTTATTCCAAGGGTGAGTATCTTCTATATACATTTGTAGGAAATGTCCAACTAGCATCATTAAAATATTTTTAATGACTGCATAGATTTTTCATTAGATAGACGTACTGTAATTTATTTAGTTGTTCTATTCATGGCATTTAAATTGTGCCCCCTTTGGGGGGTATAAACACAACAATATTTTCAGACTTTTTTTGCATTTAAATCTGCCAAATTTCTATTTCTTGGAACTAAATTCCTGTATACGAAGTTTAGATTAAAGAACATGAACTTCTTTAACATCTGCTTGAATATTAAAAATTTATTTTTTAGAATTGTTTTATCAATTTACATTGTAACCCAGCCTGTGTGTGAAAGTTTCTATGATATTTTGAGTTGTGCTCAGAGTATGGCTCATTTTTTTCCCCTCTCTGCTAATCTCATGAGCAAAAAATAATAGCACATTGCTTTGTCTTACCATTTCTTAGATTATTTGTGAAGTTGGATGGTTTTCTTATGTTATCCACTTGTATCTCTTTTTTCAGTGAATTATATTTTTGTGCCTTTTATCTTTTTATGATTTATTTATTTTAAATTGAAAGATAATTGCTTTACAGTATTGCATTGGTTTATTATCCTTTTATTTTTACTAGGGTTTTATTATTTTCTTATTAATTTAATGAATTCTTCATATTTTAAGGATGTCAACAACTTTTTTGTCATATTTATTGAAATTTCTTTTTTTTTCAATTTATTCTTTACCATTTCATTTTGTTTATAATTATTTTGATTATTTGGGCTTTTTAAGTGACATTATAGACAATTCATTGTTTGAACATAGGAATGAAGCAGCAGAGAGAAACACAGATGAATCCAGAATGTGGTCTTGTAAACTGAGGGACGCTGTTAGAAAGAAGACAGAAAATGGTGTAGAGTCAGGTCAGTAGAGTAGATACTGTAGCTACATCATGGAGTGCTCTGGTGCTCACATTTCCCCCTCTTACCTTAACCACCTGCCCCCCAGCTTTTTAAAAAAAATATTTTATTTTTATATTGATTGTTTCTTTTGTGATAGTTACCATTGCTTTTAGGGGCTTCCCAGGTGGCACTAGTGGTAAAGAACCTGCCTGCCAATGCAGGAGACATAGAGATGTGGGTTTGATCCCTGGGTCAGGAAGATTCCCCTGGAGGACAGCATAGCAACCTACTCCAGTATTCTTCCCTGGGAAATCCCATGGACAGATGAGTGTGATGGGCTACAGTCCATGGGGTCATACAGAGTTGGACATGACTGAAGTGACTTAGCATGCACCATTGCTTTTATACTTATTCTTCTCATCACTATATCATATAGATATTCACCTATATGTCACTAAAACTTTTTTCAATTCTTAATTATTATCTGTTTATTTTAGTGTATGGTTCAATG